TCTGTGTGTGTGTGTGTGTGTGTGTGTATGTGTCTCCTTTCGGACTCTTTACATCGTTCTCCATCTTCTACCCGCACATTTCCAGCTGCAGCTTCTGTTACCTCTTGCTTTGCTAAATCGCTTAGCAATTCCGAGATAGATGCCTTTCCGCCCTCTCCCCTTCTCTTTTTTTCTTCCTCCCTCCTCCCCCATACCCTCCCTCTTCTCCTTCTTCCTCCCTCAATTAGACTCACAACGTCGACCCTCCCACCTTCGGCAGCCTCTTTGCCATTGTCTCAACCAGTCCCACTTCTACTCCACAGAGCAAGTGTCTTATCTGGGGGTTGGCTATTCCCCGAACCTGACCCCACTCTCTCTCTCTCGTGGTCTTTCTTTCCAAAGTCCGCATACTACATGAACTGCCATGAAGAGCATGTGGACAATGAATCACTGGTCATTCCCACAGTGTAGGGCAATCGCCCATCACGGCAGTGCAATAGCATGTCAAGGCTTGCTGCCATTCAATCACAAGCTTCCAGGTCGCAGTCACAATACAAAGTACATTACAGATAATATATTACTAGCTAAGTGCCCGTGGTGCGGGCAGTGCAGGCTACGTCCGCATAAGGCGCAGTCTGGTTATGGCAATGGTGGGATAGGATATGGAGGTCCTTTAATACCCCTTGGACTTGGTCGTGGGACTGGCGGGCTCTGTTATGTGAGACCTGGTCTCTGGATCAATTGCCTTATTCATAACAGGCAAAAGAGCCATCCTCTGGGCCCTCTGGCAACGTTGTTGTACTTTTTAGGGGGCGAGATTGGATGGCCCTGATTTTACAAAGACAATCAAGCTGCAGGTGCAGACTGTTATCGCAGCTCAGTGGGACAAAGTAAAAGAAAACATTAAATTCCTGACGAATAAAAAAGAAATCCAACATCACACTAAACTTTTCAGTGGCGCTTGGCCAGGGGGGGCTCAAGGAGGTAAGATAGGAATGATCAAAGAGAGTGGGGTCAGGAGAGAGACCAAAGAAAGAAAAGTGTTTAAATTCAAGGGGACTACCGCCTGATATTCCAGCACCACTAGCACAGCCGGGTGTTTAAAAAAAAAAAAAAAAAATGATATTCCAAGATTGGACAAACGCGGACTCCACAGTTCCCGTTCGTCCCCTATCAGAGTTCCCAGATCCCTTCCCCCCGCCCTCATTATCCCTGGTCCCCATGAGTTGGTATGGCTACAAATGAAGAGGAAATGTTTTGATAAGCTGTAACCAGCTAGATGAAAATGTCTAATCTGGCGGCCATACAAGGCTGAAGAGGCTGATTACAGAAGATACAGCGCGAGCTGATTCAGTGTAACAGGCGAAATAGATGCAAAAGGCTGAGAGTCAGGAGAGATAGGTCACAGACAATCCTCAGTTTCTAACTTCTAACATACTCAAATACTCATCACACTTTTCTGGAAAACTACGTATAAGGGACGCTGGACCCATTTTCCAGCAGGTGCAGCTCCCCACCAATAGAATGGAGCCAACAGGCGGCCTGCTAGCGGTGGGTGCTCGTATCAATATCCCTAGCAGGACCAACTGATGTTAACAAAAAAGAAATGAAACAAAAAAGGGAAAATTTTCGAAATGCCCCTGAAGTTTGCGTTTATTTGCGGCGTGCCCCTCTGGCGGCCGACTTACCTTGTCGTGCCCTATGACGACGAATGATGTTTCCAGAATATCCCTGGCGTCGTTTGGGCCTCAAAAATGTTTCATATGCCCCTACCGGTACCGGTACCAAATTTTCAGTATGCCCCTCCTGGCTGCCCATTGAGAAACAGCAGTAAAGTTTCCCATATGCCCTTACTGGTACCGTCCATCTTTCCAGCAAGCCCGTGTTGCCGCTGTTGACACTTGCAGTCCCTACGAAGGGAAGAGGAGGGAAGAGGAGGGAAGAGGAGTAGGGAGGACAAGGACCATGACGATGACGGATGAGGGAGGAACGAGGGAAGAGGAGGGAAGACGAGTAGGGACGACCTTCGATTCGTCATCATATACCACCTGTCCAACAAACAAGTAAACGAAAAGATGACGCCAACACACACACACACACACACACACACACACACACCAAAAAAAAAAAATAATAAAACAAAAAAGAATCACAAATACCTTCGAT